GCAAATGCTGGAGAATCTGAGATAACAAGGTGTAGAGCTGGATGAACACAGCAGGCCAAGCAGCATCAGAGGAGCAGGAAAGCTGACATTTTGGGCCTAGACCCTTCAGACCCAAGCAGACAGGAGGAGAATGTGCAAACTCCACATAGACAGTTGCTGAGGGTGGAATCGAACCCAGGGTCCCTGGTGCTATGAGGCAGCAGTGCTAACCACAGAGCCACCATGCCACCATGCCACCCCCATATGATGTTATCTTCTGAAAATGTGCTTCAGACACATAGTTGTACCACTTCATTGCTACTGCCTTGTCAGAAAGCTTCACCATCTTGAATGAGCAATCATTTCCATAAGTTAAAGAATGGGTTGCCAAACCTGTTGTATTCAGTGACCCACCAAAAGCTATGCATCCATGCCATAGAATTTGTGCCATCTTCCAGACACTTTTTTGGGCTGCCCCAGATTATTATCAGCCTCAGAGTTTGTTTCAACTACTCGCTGAACATAGAATCATACAATAATGTGACACAGGTGGAACCTCTCTGGACCATTATGCAGGATCTTCTACCATTTCCAGGACATGTTTGGAGGTAGGTGAGGTAATTAATTCAGCAGGACAGTGGCATTCATTTTCACTCTAATTGAGTCTGCAATGGGAAAGTTAGTGGTCGAACTACCAAACCTGATAACAATTGAGGCCTGTAAATCAACAGCAGCCTTCAGAACGGCAACGCAAAATTTGAGGTAAATTGGTATGATTTTGTGGCGGGGTACATGGTGACCAAGAGTGTGAACTGAATATTCAAGGATATTCAGCTTTTAGGAGAAATGGGTAGAAAGGAAAACATTCTTTATGAGGGATGAGCTCAATACATGAGTAAGAGAGAATCTTAGATCAAAAGTTCAAGATTGGTTATAATCGGTTTACAATGGGGTGGCACAGTGGCTCAGTGGTTAGCACTGCTGCTTCAAAGTGCCATGAACCTGGGCTCGATTCCATCTCAGGAGACTGTCTGTATGGAGTTTGCCTTTTCTCCCTGTGTCTGCATGGATTTCCTCCAGGTGCTCCAGTTTTTTTTTATTCATTAACGAGATGAGGACGTCGCTGGCTAGGCAGCATTTATTGCCCATCCCTAATTGCCCAGGGGACGGTTCAGAGTCAACCACATAGCTGTGGGTCTGGAGTCACATGTAAGCCAGACCAGGTAAGGATGGCAGTTTCCTTCCCTCAAGGGCATTAGTGAACCAGACGGGTTTTTCCCAACAATCGGCAATGGATTCATGGTCATCATTAGATTCTTAATTCCAGATATTTTATTGAATTCAAATTCCACCATCTGCCATTGCGGAATTCGAACCCGGGTCCCCAGAACTCCCCAATAGTTTCCTCCCACAGTCCAAAGATGTGCAGGTCAGGTGGATTGGCTATGCTAAATTGCCCATAGTGTCCAGGGATGTGCAGGTCAGGTGGATTAGCCATGGGAAATGCAGGGTTACAGGGAAAGGGTGGGCTGCTGTTCAGAGAGTCAGTGTGGACTTGATGGACAGAATGGCCTGCTTTCGCACTGTAGGGATTCTATGATTTTAAAGTCAAATGGAGCTAAGAAATAACAAGGGATACATTGGTACAAATTGTTCAAACATTACCAAACTGTAGTGCTATTATTGGACATGGTATAAATCAGGAAGTCAGAGATGCATGTAATGTGTGTAATACAGTAAAACAGTGTTCTTCAGTTCAAATTTAGAGTGGATTAAACAAATTAGCACCAACAATGAACACAAAGTTCTTATCTGTAGCAAACAGGTGGCCATGGTAGGACGGACAGTTTGGAGAGGGCTGCAGGGCTAAATGAAGGATTGTACAGAGATTGGGAAGGGGAAAAGTAGATTAAAGCGCAAGAATGTGGATTTTAAATTGGAGGCATCAGGGGATTGTGGCAATATAAGTCAGCAAACACTATCCGGCCATTAGATATAGGAGCAGAATTTGGCCATTCAGCCCATTGAATCTTCTCTGTGATTCATTGAGATCATGGCTGATCTGAGATAATCTTCAACTCCACTTTCCTGCCTTTTTGTCAAAACTCTTGATTCTTTTACTGATTAAGGATCTGTCTATCTCAGCCTAACTATATTTAATGACCCAGCCTCAACAGCCCTCTGCTCAATAGATTCACCACTGTCTGAAAGATGACATTCTGACGTTGATAGGTAAATGGCTTTGGGATGCAGGGGGCTTTTTTTCAAGTTTTGGTTTTCCCTTCACCCCTGAATACTGTGATGTAGGTGAGGATACAAGTAACTGTAGTTTGAATGAACTGACGTTTTCGAATCATGGAAGGTGGAAGCTGAGAAGGGAATGGACATGGATTTCAGCAACATAAGGGACAGCTGAAGCTGTAGAATTAGATTTAAGTTGTTATTGAAACAGCAAGGGAACGATTGTAATCTCACCCAACTGTTGGAAGTCAGTTCAGTGAGAAATCAAAATTGTTTCACATACTTACCCACTTTTAAGCAGCCAATGTTCCCTGAATTACAAGCCATTGTACCATGTTACACTTTTAGCTAACTACACGATAACTAGCGAGGAATGTTTATTTGGGAATGCAAGGAGAAAACTAAAAAACTTACAGCTTGAATTGCAGGGGTCGAGCTGTCCTAGTAGAAACTGCTTTGTGCTGATACTGTCTAGTCAAAGACTGTGCTATTTCCATGGACTCAAACCTACACCATTGTGCGTTCATAGTTTCTGCCTATAATGTGGTTTGGGCATTGGGTGTCAGTATTGCACTCTTGACACTGCTCCGTCCTGCTAGATTCTGAAATGAAAGCAGAAAGTACTGGAGAAACCCAGCAGGTTAAACTTTTTGAATCCGATATGACTCTTTGAGCTCCACTACTCTGAGACTGCTGCATCTCTATCATTAACTCATCTTCAGTGTCTCTCTCCTCATTCTAGGTATGTCCCATAAATCTTTATTCACGTTTCTTTGTGAACAGAATACCAATCAGAGCACTCTCATTCTTTTCTTCCATTTGGTCTTTTTTGAATCTCAACAGCCCGTGACTGTTGATATCAGATTTGCACCATCAAGCACATCATCGGCATTCATGTATTAATTCGCCATTATGTGACAGAATCCACTTTTCAAGAGCCACAATTGTGCAATTAAAAATATGGAGTGCAGTCTGGAGGGATTATTATCACTAGAGTTACTGAAACCAGGTTAGCAGATTAAGGTTACTTCATGATGTGAAACAGTGGGAACATTTTCCTGGGAAGGCTGATGAATTGTTGGATTGATGTAGCTTGCTAGTGGAGAGACAGACTTCCAGTTTCTCAAAAAGCCAAAGAACTGCAGGTGTTGAGAATCAGAAATTGCTGGGAAAAAGCCAGCAGATCCTGCAGCAGAGAAGGTAGTGTTAACATTTCAGGTCTAGTGACCCCTCTTCAGAACTTTTTCCAGATTGTGCTGGCCTGGGAGATTTGGAGGTTTGAAGTATTCATCTTCATTGGGCTAACCAGACTTTCCTCGACCTTGCATTTTCTTGTTTTGCATACAACAAGATTAAATCACGTATGTCAATACAAATAAATTGTAATTTCATTGGTTATATTCCTAATAAATTAAGGTCAGCATTTCCGATGCCTTCATTATAAGTCTTTGTTTAATTCATGGATTTTTATCAACTGACGCCATTAAAGAGTTTGTTATTAAACTCTCACTTGCTAGTAGGGCTGATTTGCAGTCATCACACTCCTAGCCCCGTACATTAATCTTGTATTCAGGTGGCATCTTCAGTGAGCTTCACTATTTAGTAAGAGTTGCACAGCATAGCATGTACCACTAAAATTATGCTACATAAAGAGGCAATTACTTCTACTAAAACAGCAGACAGATGGATTTCTTCTGAATATAGTGAAAGCTTTGTGATGTTAACATGCAGTAATTCAAGATGTGAAGGAATGACTTTAGCTCGAAAACCTGTTCAAAGCAACACGTAGGAGTATGTCTAACAATGTGACTTAAGTCTCAGTTCAAAATGCTCTTCCCAATGGTATTGGAAATGGACTGTCCAGCAGTTTTCACCCAATTGGCTAATCTTGCCTTAAAATATAACTATCACGATTCGTATGTGGGCAGGGAAAATCAAATTAAATCATGTCATTAAATCAAATCATGGTTTCAATGCTTTACTATTGTGTATAAATATTATCCCGTGTGATAGGGGGTCAGTATAGCATGTTAACGGATGAGTCATTCCAATGGTTAATGATCTGGGGACAATGATTGAAATCCCAGCACAGCACATCTGTTTGAAAGCTCCTGAAGTACAAAGCTGCATTCAAAAGCACTCTGTGCCTTATAGAAGGAATCAGCTAAAATCCAGACCCTGCCCTCTCTTCCAATCCCATCCCCTGGTCCCTCTTGCCTGGTGACCCCATTCAATGACTCCCCCCATCCCACTCTCACTGATGTGTGGTCTAGGCCCTTCAATCATCTTCCACCTCACCCTTGGTGCTTTATCAGGTACTCTGTGCCCAGCAGCTCTCACGGGTGGGATTTCTGATTCCGGGGTCCTACGTCCTGGGGAAAGCCTGACACCAGCAACTTGGTTATCCTGGGTTCTTCACTTTATTACACCTTCCCCAACACAGGCAGTGCAGGACTGCCACCAGCTCTCTACTTTTCTAGGATTAAATTCTGGTTAAGAGTTGGACAATGCAAGTTATGAGAGCTTTCTATGTGCCAGTTTACAACAGTGTTGTTGCTTATAAAGCACTCTGGGAAGTTCTGAGATCATAATGTGGGTAAAGTCATAGAGTCATAGAGGTTTACAGCTTGGAAACAGGCCCTTCAGCCCAACTTGTCCGTGCTACCCAGTTTTCACAATTAATCTAGTCCCATTTGCCTGCCCATTCTGGTTTCAATGCTAAAGTGTGGAATCTATCTGACAGTGGCCAACCATTACAATTTCTTCCTGTTTGTGCGCAGATACTGAACTGCTCTATCGGACGTCAGATGGAAATCTGGAGAGACAGAATATTGAAACCATGGAAAAGACACTTCTGATGATGGACCGGAAATTTGTAAGTATTTCTTCTACCTTTCATCCAGAAATCACACCGGTCAGCTCAGAAAAATACGGTACAAGGCAGGATTGTCAGTATCCACTGTTTAAAAACAAAACGAGGGCTCACAAAGTTTGAGAAGTAATTGGTTAAGAAAGGAGCAAACCTCTATTGTGGGAAAGCCTGACATTTTGATGGATAATGAGTATACTTTACAGCAAGCACTGCATGAGTGTACCCTCAGTTTTGTTTCGCTTGCAGTGATCAAAAAGTTGAAGTGTTGACATTCAGCTCCAGTACCTGTGTAATTGACGTGGGATGATTCCCTGTGTGGTAATTGTAGCAAGTCCATCAACACACTGAGAAACTAAGAATTCTTTGTACCTGTTGCATAGACAGGTGTAACAGCCAACTTAATACTATCAATATCCCACATACAAAAAACAGGTGTTGGAACGGCTGATCTGTAGTTATGAGACTTGATTGAAAGATTTATTGTTCATCAGGGTGCTAGGATCACACTCTACTCCTTTTATTTATTCATTTATGAGTAAAAGTTGCCATTGGCTAGACCAGCCCATCCCTAATTATCTAGAGGGCAGTTAATAGTCAACCACAGTGCTGTGGGTCTGGCATCACATGTAGGTCAGACCAGGTAAGGATGGCAGATGGAAAACAAAAAAATGCTAGAAATCACAGCGGGTCAGACAGCATCCATGGAGAGAGACCAAGCTAACGTTTTGAGTCGAGATGAAATGTTAGCTTGTCCTCTCTGCGTGGATGCTGCCTAACCCACTGTGATCTCCAGCATTTTTGTTTTCAGTACAGATTCCAGCATCTGCTCCTACAAGGATGGCAGATTTCCTTTTGTAAAAGATATTAATGAACCAGATAGATTTTTCTGACAATCTATAATGGTATCATCGTTGTCATTCGACTCTTAATTCCAGATTTTTATTATTATTCTGGTGTTTGCTATTTGATTATTATTGATCAGAAACCGAATTGACCCAGCCATCTAAGTACTGAGTGCAGCTCCAACAACACTCAGAAAGCTTGACATCATCCAAGACGAAGCAGCCAAATTAATTGGCGCCCCATCCACCGCTTTACACTTTCATATGACAGTCAGTGCCATCTACAAAATGCAAAGCAATAACTCACCATCTTTACCAACTACTTGGACAAGGTCAGCAAGTATATGGGAGCACCAGCACCTGTTATTCCTTCATTGTCAATAGGCCAAAATCCTGGAACTCCCTCCCTAACACCATTGTGGATGTACCCTATACCACATGGTCAGGAATGGCTCGAGAAGGCAGTTCAGCACCACCTTGTCCAGGGTAATTAAGGATGGGCAACAAATGCTGGCCCTGTCAGCAACACCCATATGCCATGAAGAATTTTCTTAAAAAGGTTTGAATGAGAGGTGTCTTCTGTGTCAGCAGTACAACTTGCATTTGAGTTATAAGACCAGCATAGAAACTCATTCCATTCTCCAGTCCTTGTGACATCTGATCATTGTAACAATGGTTAATCCAGTAAGTGTAGATGTGCTTCCTGCATCTTACTGTAGGCACCTTTCATTTTATGACTCAACTGATAGTAATGTTGGATCCTAGTGTGAAACCTGTCTTGATAGACCATGGGTTTTATTTTTGCAATTTGTTTACCATGGGGGTCAGCCAAGGAACGTATTCAGAAGAGGCTGCCAATGAACACTTAACAAAAGAACATTAAAGTTTGTTGTATATATAAGGAAAACAAAATATATTCACTATGTAATAATTATTTGAGACAATCTTACTCCACATGTCATCAGCAAAGATTCAATCCTTTTGACCTCAACAATAACCTTCCAGATACTCAGACCTCAGTGAGAGTTCACCCAGTTTCCACTTTAAAGTTCCTTGTTCAGTAGCATGGTTGTGCTTGATTTCTTCTTGGCAAACCTCTGCATTCATGTAGTGCTATTTCTTTAGCCAATGTTGCTTCCTGAAATCCTTATACAAACTGCTAACGTAGCTGGCTTGAAAACAAAACATGCTGGAAATCACAGCAGGTCAGACAGCATCCATGAAGAGAGAACAAGCTAACGTTTTGAGTCAAGATGACTTTTCAATAACTCATCAAACTTCAAATTTTATACAGTCATGTGCACTTCAGAACCAAATATCCAAATAATAATTATAAATAATGAAAATTTATTGTAGTTGCTACTTGAATATTAGGAAATATTTTCCTCCCCCCACCTCCAGCCACTAAGTGTGGGGTAGGAGACATGGAGGGTGCCAATGAATCAGCGAGGCAGGTGGGAGATGAAGAGCCTTTCCAGCTCCCTGATAGATTCCAGGGGGAGGACTGTTCAGTTCAGGCTTCCCCACCCCTAGGCCAAATGAGAGCCTTTGGTGACAATTCATTAAGGGGCAACTGAGGTCACCATTCTGCCACTGCCAGCATTCTACCTTGCAGGATGGTTGGGAGGCCGTCAGGAGTGCTGTTGGGAGGGGCGTTGCAAGTAGGCTTGTGGGGGAGCTCCTTCCTGGGCACCTCATCTCCAGTGAAGGGTCTAATCAGTAGCACCTCTTCTTTCAAAACTCCCACTCTCTGCTACCTAATGTTGGAGTGCAACAGGCAGTATTTAACAAGCCCACCCCACATACTGGTACCCTGGGTTTCCAGTACATTGACACTTGGCTCCTGATTGATGGACAGCTGTTAAAGGAAGGTGCCTCATGTACAATGACCCAGTGGTGTACAGAAAGATTGCCTGACTGACATTAAATCCCATTTGGGCAACTAGAAATGACTGCCATTGGGATTACCAAAACCAATACATATCAGCTCAATATGCCAATATTTTGCGGTATATTTAGTTCAAAGATATACACAAACCTTGCTGATGAAGAAATAGGAGCAACTTTTATCATTGACCTATTTGTATTATGATAATATCAATGCGAGTCACAAGTATTCAGGACAAAGGGTTTAACTTCAAGACATTTTGGGGCGTTCAATAACCAATATTTGTTACAAGTTATTGCTGCATCCCAAACTGCAGAATTAATCAAAGTTTTATGAGTTGGTCAGAGTTGGAATTTGCAGAACTCCTAATTCCTGAAAGTTAATTGCTGTAAAGTTATTCTGGCTTTTTTATTAAGTAGGTGTTAATAATTTATAGCGGTGTTATCAGACTGTCAAATTTTTATCAATGGACAATTACAGCTCAGTGCCAGATTAAGTAACAGTTGAGGACGGACACAAGAGAAGTGTTAATGTCTATAGATCAAGCAAGATGCTCTATGAAAAGCACTTCTCACATTTAAAATCAAATTAATTTACTGCACTGTTCACGAGAAGTCTGTTTTATGGGCAAAATAATAGACTTTAAGTCTAAATTCTCAAGGTGCAATATGGCCTTTCTGTAGATCTAATGATTCTAATAATTGTGTAATTTTCAGGGGTGATTTATTCATCCTAAGTATAGCATGGATACTGTTCTGGCAACCTCTCTCAAACTTATACAGGGACTGGGGACAGATATAAAGGCATAGCGCCAGATCACAGCCAATCAGCCTTAAGCAAGAGCCCTGAGGCTCTCAAACGTTGATGATTATGTTGTAGAAAGGAGGACTTGCATGAGAGCAATGCCTTTCACAATCTCTGCATAACTTCAGGAGTTTTAAGACTTAAGGTGTCTTGCAACCAATTACCTCAAATGCACAGCATAGCTATTCGGCTTAACAGGCCCATGCTCGCGATTTTCTCTTCTACACCAGACCAATCGGCCCTGTAGCGAAATACTCGATAAGAAAATGGTGGCAACAAACATACTATGGTGCTGAACATTTGCACAGATAGCCTCATCTGAGATGGTGCTAAGCAGCAAGCATTGCTCACATAGCAGAAATTTCATATTCAACCTCAGAGTGAGTCTGCAATGGGTAGTGATCAAATGGAATAGAAGAGCAGGAACCTTGGTATGCAGAGACACAGACCATTAGACAGAATAGCCTCAGTTGGCAAATACATAAAAAAGATAACCCAAACACTTGCTTTTGTATCTAGTGTCACAAGAACAAGGAGGAAATGTTCAAAACCTATAGTGTAATGCTGCAGTTGAAGTATGTAATGCAACCTGTTGTAGGAAGGATAGAAACGCAGAGGAAAAGGATCAGGATAGATTATGTATAGTCTGAAGAAGAGTCACCGGACTTGAAACATTAACCGTGCATTCTCCCTATTGATGCTGCCAGGCGTGCTGAGTTTTACCAGCAATTTCTGATTTTATTTCAGATCTCCAGCATCTGCAGCTCTTTATTTTATTTACTTTGGAGTAAATGAACTTGGATGTTACCAAGGAATGACCAAAGTTCACAAACCGTTAGAAAATTTAGTCGTTATGATGCTATCAATAGACAAGTCAGATCCCAGACTGAAATCTGGTTTGCTAGATCATATTTTATTAATGGTCTTTTGACTTTAATGAGGTGGTCTTTTACTGAAACATAAACACACAGTGCAGCTGATTTAGTTTCTACAACAAAAAAGAAGTTCTTGACACAAGAAAAAGATAAAATGGAATAAGACAAACTATATTTACACATATTTAAAGATAAGTGGTAAAAATACAATCCCATTAATCCCAACAGCATTCAAATATAGTCCACAGATACCAGAGAAAATGCATTTCTCCACTCCATATAGGGTTTGACTTATGGCTTTGTATCCCAGTCATGAGAATCTGATAGCCTTTTTCTTGATTTGTCATATAAGTGAGCTTAGACTTTCTAAGCTTCATATAACCCCTTCAGGACTTTTAACTAAATTTAACCAGTCACTTCTGGTCTGGAACTTTTAAACAGCACTCCTTATACTGAGGTAACCTCTAAAGTGTCCTAAAATGTTTCCCTTTCTTAGGAGTAGCTGTCTTAAACATCTAGCTTCAGTCAGGACTTGTGCAAAATTGCCCAAGTAAAACTCAATAGCTATTTTTTCAAACTATTTGTGTTTCCCAA